GAGTGATGGAACAGTTGGGAAGCACCTGTTTGAGAACATGAACTTCTGAAACACATAATTCATATAAGATGGCAAATGCATTAAGTTTATTTGTGCGCACCGTTCCATATTAAGTACAGAATGGTGGAATAACTGCAGCTTTGTGCTTTTCCAATTGTTTTAGTTCTCAGGAATGGCTGAAAATTGGTTCAGTTTATCAATACTTCCAGTGAATATTTTGTTGGAATAAATTAATCCTACTTTGATCTTTAATAGATACAATTTGGACTAAAACATTTAAGGTATTAAATTGGGTTAAATTTAAATAGTACAACAACTTTGTTTAATATGTATATACTTCCTGTAATGCAATGTATCTTCATAGGGCAAACAGTGTATAGGTAGCCCTCGACTTATGACCACAATTGAGCCCAAAATGTAGGCTGCTAAATGAGACATTTATTGAGTTTTGCCCATTTTATGACTTTTCTTGCCACAGTTGATAAGAGAATCATTGCAGTTAAGTGAATATGGCTTCCCCATTGACTTTGCTTGAAAGAAAGTTGCAAATATTGTTCATATGATCCTGGGACAGTGCAATCACCATAAATATGAACCAGTTGCTAAGCATTTGAATTTTGATCACATGCATATACAGGTGAAACAAATCTAGGTTTACTACAGAGTCACCTCTTTTTCATAGAACTGGACATAGGATGTTTAGAAAACTGAAGAGCTCCCATTGTTCTAGTTATTTATTGGGCTTTAAGGTTTTTTTTTCCCCAGTGGCTATAAATATTTACAAGCTGAACAATCTGGACCACTTGCTAGAATGTTTCCAGGTTATACTTTAAAAAACTTAAAATATCCAGTCTACTTCTGGATTCAATTTAAGCTGGTGGTTTTGTCCTTTAAAGACTTTCTTGGCATGGGACTGGGTTACAGCTAGTCCTTGATGTACAACCAGTCACTTAATGACCTTTCAAAGTTTTGACAGACCCCTCTCCCCCCAAAAAAGTTTACACTCCCATTATGCAATGTAGGCAACTCTCCTCCAAAGAAATTTATCTAAACATACAGATTATCAAGATAAAAGCATTCTTGCATAAGAATCCGCATATCATGAAATTATAGCCATATATTTTGGATGTCTGAAGTCATTATTTGTGGAACATGTAAGTGTATGAATATTATACTTTCTGTGTTGACAAACTCTTGAATTACCATCTCAAAGCAATGCATAAGCAATTAAAATATCAAACAAATCATTTTACTATTTGAAAAATTAAAAAGTTAGAACACCACCACTGGCTCACTCCAGATATATAAGCACAGAGAGCTCACGGCATTTAAAAGATACCACCATTGGCACCTGTAGTGAAATTTTCCGGATGAGAAAGCATTTCAGATTTTCTCAGTAAGTTGACATATAATTATTTACAAGATGAGAAAGTTGTGGGTGTGATATACAAACTGAATGTGTGTTTTAGATGAATGCACAATATGTTCCCTTCTTTCATGATTTCCATAAAAAGTAACAGATAAGATCAGGGGGGGATTCAATTTTTTTAACAACCGGTTCTGTGGGCATGGCTTAGTTGGTGGGCGTGGCTTGGTCATGTGACAGGGTGGATGTGGCTTGGTGGTCATGTTATTGGCTGGGCGTGGTCAACTCAATATCACTCACATCGAGGCACCATCTCCTCACCTGGCCTCTCATGACTGTGGGGATGCTGCAACAGTCATAAGTGTGAAAAACAGTCATAAGTCACTTGTTTCAGTGCCATTGTAACTTTGAATGGTCACTCCACACAAGCAAAGTACCAGCAAAGGAGGGAAAAAAACTCCAGAGAAGTTCCTGAGACAGGAAGTCTAGGCCTCCCAAGAATGTAATAAGGGTTAGCAGAGAGGCGGTTTCTGTAAGCAACACCAGAATGTTTCCTTCCTGCCTTCCTTACAGGATTAGGCCAGTAATTTCTTGTAACAACCGGTCTCCGAACTGCTTAGAATGTTAACAACTGGTTCTAGCGAATAGGTATGAACTGGTAGAATCCCACCCCTGGATAAGATTGATTTCATCTCAGGAGCAGGAATGATCTGAAAGCATATTTTATTTAAAGGTGCTCAAATTGCATGTTATCATTTAAGGGTGACTTTTGTCAGCATATCTTGAGATGATGTTAGGCAGGTGTTTTATTCTATCCTGCTGTGCCCGGGTAAATTAATGAATCTGGGTTATATTTATGTGTTCCTATTTTTTAAAATATAAGAGGATAACTAGTAGTAAGGGGGATGGATTCACTTAGAGTGGCAATAAAGGAAGTCCTGAAAGACCAGTTAGAGGCAGATTGTCGTAGATAAAATCTGTTTAGTCACTGAAGGTCAGCAATGACTTAATGGCATATAACCAATCATAATCAATAACCGGTTGCAGCACTGATCATGTGATTGCTGTTTATGACCTTCCCTACTGCCTTCCCCAGAAAATCAATAAGGTAGCTAGTCTTGGAAGCTCACAAGTCAGTGAGAGAAGTTTCCCCTACCCATACATCCTTCCTCAGCTTCTCTGCGCTCATGCCATGCTGGCCACTCATGCATCCTCCTGAAATCTTGCTGCACCTCTCTCACACACCCATACTCTCACACATTCTCTTGACTCTCACTGTGCCTCTCTTGCATCCTGTCAAGCTTTGCTGCATTTCCCTTGCACCCCTGCACATCCTCCCAAACCTTGCCATGCCTCCCCTGCGCCCCGTGCACTCTCACACACCCTCCTCAAGCCTCATATCTCCGTTACATCCTTGCTGTCCCTTGTCACATCTCTCTTGCATTTCTTAACACACTCCCTGAGCCTTGTTCTGCATCTCTTGCATCCTTGTGCATCCTCTCACACATTCCCCAAATCCTCCTGCACTATCTCCCACCCTTGCCACATTTCCCTCCCACTTCCATATACTCCCCCACCTGGCAGTAGCCAGGCACCTATCTGCCATCCTGTTTGCATGCTACCAGACACTTCCTGCCAGCTTCCCCACTGATTTGATTATGGGAAACTGGAGGGAAGTCACTTTGTCTTATAATTATATGGTTTGGTTAACAGCGGCAAGCAGGACTATAGGGATTGCCATTGCTGCATTCACACTTTATAAACTACTACATAAATTCTAGTCCCAATCACCATCGTAAGTCAAGGGCTACCTTAGTTGGTGAGAATTATAGAATTAAGAAACTTAATTCTAAAATTAAGATTTAACTAGAGATTGCCACTCTAGTTCCAGATGTTCTGGGAGTGAAAAAGAACTTACCGTGGCTTTTGGAGCCAACTATAGTGATGGGGAATTCATGAAATCTAAACCTTCATGCCTGCCTGATCATATATAAAAAGGGACTACAGAAAGGTGTCTTCAGACATAACATTTAAATACTAAGCAGTCATTTACAATAGCTTTTATGTCTTCTTCAAGCCCAGTGATTTTTAAATAATGGTCCAGGGAATGTATCTACATCTAGCAATGCCCACCTAGCAACAGCTTGCCTTCTGCATGTTCAGTATAGTTACAGAATGTAGACTTGCTTTTTAATTTTGGAAACAGACACTTATGTGTATAAGTGTGCTACATTCTACTCTTTATGAAGGAAACATTTTCATACCAGAATAGTTTGAATCTGAAGAAATGGGCAAGTAAAATATGCAGCAATATAGCCATGAGTGCTAATGCACTAAAAAGCACACTCCTTTTATTCTATTGCTTACTTTCTGCTTTTCAGAAGTCTATTATCTACAGATCAATGCATTTACTGCTTTGTTTTCAACTTTTTTCAGCTTTTACTATGATACAAGAACCTTTAAACAAATTCTCCTTTTTCTTGTTCCACATCAAATCAATTTTAACTACAATGTAATCTTTGCTACTCTGTACAAAAAAACTCTATTGTAACTGTTACACGAATTGGGGGTGGGGGGACATTTCAGATAAAGTAGAAGCAGCTGAAGCGTAATTGTAATGGTGCGTGCATGTTTATCTCAAGTTCTTCAGCAGGAAAACATAGTTTACATTTCTCTTCTTGTCTTTCCATGGCAGTAATAGCTAAGATTAGATATTTTCCAAATAGCCATTTTAAAAAAACCACACACACAGGAATACCTATTCGTAAACCACACACAGGCACAGTTTACCTCTAGCACAGTGACAACAGACTGAAAAAATACTTCCCTGAGAATACAGAAACAAGTGGCTAATTTGTGTGTTTATTGGGTAGCCCCAAAGTTAGGGCCTTCTAAAAGTACCGGAAGAGGAGGGAGAGGAGAAAATATATAGTTAATAAAATTACTATTAGAATTGACAATAGATAGGTTGTCTAAAAGAGAGCAGTTAACTTGCCCTGTGGTCACAAGTGTTCCTCAGTCTGATTTTTAGAGTTGAAGGACGGGGAGGACTTTGTAAACATGCAGATTGACTTTGGAGACTGTTTGGAGAAACCCCTGCAGTTTCCTTGGAAAGATTTTCAAAGATGATCTGCCCTTGCCTTTTTCCTAGCGCTGAGAAAGAATGACTGAACTAAGATCGCCCAACTGGCCTCCTGTCTAAATAGCAATACTACTTAGACTTACATACTGTTTTACAGTGCTTTACAGCCCTCACTAAATTGGGATTAGAATTTAAAAATCTCTCAGTTTCTAGCCTGATGCCTTAACCATTAAGCCAAACTGGCTCCCTCTGATTTTCTGTCTTACTATATTCTTTGTCCAACGGTGTTTTTAGAATTATGTTGACACTTGTCTTCAAGAAATCAGGTCCTTAAGGTTTCCATTCAGACCAGAGTTATGAGTAAAAGACAAGTCACTTTTGTGAATGATAGCAAAACTAGATTATTAGGTGACTTCCATGGGTTGGATATAAAGTGCCAATGGCAGGGCAGCAGGTTGCACAATCTCAGGTTTAAACCTTCAGATTTAACATCATGCACACAAAGCAAGAGTTGTTTAAAGAAACAATCTGGTAATGAATAAATAATGGTACCTGATAACATATTGTGAGCAAGAGTGGCCACATTAACATCCTGGAGGTGTTTAAGGGTTTCAGTGTGGAAAAGACGGAGAGTAGATCCCGATGTGAAGGCAATCCAGATCCCCACTCCTGCAACAGCCATGTGAGAGATCACCATCCCTTCCTCTTGATGAGCTTCAAAATGGCACTGGATAATAGAGAGAGGCCATTAAAAAGCATTCAGTAGGAACAGTAATAACAATAACCCATTTTTATTTGTTTTCACACAATAACTGTGGACCTGTTGTGAAGGGCACCATGAACAAAAACTTATCTTGCCTTCTCACAAGGCTGAATTGAAAAAGAGAGGTGGCCACAAGTGCTTATCGTGCAGTACTTAATACAAAAGAACAATGATGCAGACATTCAGATATTCCTCAGAGCTACAACCTCTCTGCAAAAGACAATAATATATAATAGTAGTCCCCTGCTGAAGAAAGGAAGTGATCACAATTTTCACTAATGGCCTACAGAACATAACATTATAATTGAGACCCATTTAACACAATTGGAAGGGACCATGCAATCTTCTAACCTAACTCCATGCTCAAGCAGGACACTCTAGACCTTTCCAGACAAATGGTTGTCCAATCTCTTCTTAAAACCCTCCAGTGATGAAGCCTGCACAACTTGGAAGAAAGCCATTTCACCGATTAATTGTTCTAAATGTCAGGAAATTTCTCCTTAGTTCTAGGTTGGCTCTTTCCTTGATTAGTTTCCATCCATTGCTTCTTGTCCCGTCTTCAGGTGCTTTGGAGAATAGGTTGACCTCCCTTCTTCTTTGTGGTAGCCCCTTAGATATTGGAACACTACTATAATATCACTCCTAATTCTTCTTTTCATTAGACTAGACATATTAATTTACCATAAGTATATATGTCAACATTGTACCCATGGGTACAATCCATCTGCCATTTTTAAAATGATGATCCTTTCCCCACTGCCATGGAGACCATGGATCTTAGTATCTCTTTCCCGTGGTATTCCAAAAAAATACCCCAGCCTTCTGGAACAGGAAGATAAGAGGGCAGGAATTGGTAAATGTTGCTTTCCCATCATCTTCTCTTGGCATACAGGGAACTTTCCTCACTGATTCGACTCACAGTCTCTTTCTTAAAAAATTTTATACTTGAACATCATTTCAAAGCAGGATGTGGTTCCCTATAGATCTCATAAACAATAACCAACGCCCATCATAATGAGCATCAATGGAAGGTATAATTAAAACATTTGGTGGGTAGCAAGTGGCTAAAAACATGAGGAGAAAGAGGCGAGGGTAGTTAGTAATTGTATATTATCCATGAAGGAATGTGGATGGCATGCAAAATCAATTTAAGCTTAATTCCTTCACCATGGGAAAATAAATTAGATTAGGCAGAATAAAATTAGGGCAGAATGAAAGTAATTGGCAAAGAGACAAAATATAGTAAATTAAATGGCTGACTTTTCTCAATAAATTTAGAATATGGTATTTTTTCAATTACTGTTGTACTCGGAGTGATCTAACTGCATATGCATTATTAACAATGGATCATGTAATGTTTTCAAGAGTCAGATCATAACAAAAAATAGTGGTAAACAACAATTAAAATGTAAAATGCATCCAAAAATGATATTTGTGGGGCATTCATAACTCACAACTGAACTGCAATCCAGATTTTCCTGTTCCATATTTCCAGCATGATATTCAGATTGTAAATTGGCAAGCAGAATATATGTTGGCATCCAGATCTTACAAAAAAATTTTTTTTTCAGAGTCTTTACTATGAAGGTATGGATTTCAAGCAGTTAAAAGATGGTAAACAGTTTTAATTATCAGTTGGGATAGCTATCCAGCTCCCAAAACTTTTCTGCCCCGAAGTCCTTCTGAGACAGCTATCTGTCTCCAAAACGTTGCAAAAATTCAAAACATCTTTAAGTATCTCCATTTGCAATGATGGTAGCAATACTGAATAGAAGTCAAACATAAATACTGTTATTTTAACAGGTAGAAATCTGGATTTTTCCAACTTTTTACAAAAACATAACCAATAAAATCCTTGAGTAACCCCAGAACAAATCTCATAATTTATTTATGTGGCTTAGGCTTTTCTGAAAAGATAGTGAACTTATTATTAAAGAGCATAATAAAATAGTCCAGTGAATGATAAAATACATGCCATAAAGCTTCCACTGATTTTCTGAGAAAAAATAAAAACAAAACCGTTGTGATTCCTCTGCTTCAAATCTATGGAAACAGATGGTACCACCCAAGTAACAAGACAAGTTGGGCGACAGCCAAGAAAAGCAACATTAATCTTATCAAATCATTAACATTATTAAACCATCGTAAAAACCTAAATGATAAAAGATAATTAATTAACCTGTTTCTTTATTGAAGTCCCTATGTTAAAACTATTTAAGGTAAATAAAAATTAGGTGCACAGGGGAAAAAGATTGCTGCTAAGGAACCTTAAAAGTGAGTTATTTCTAGATGAGTGGTTGCTGTGAGACATATATGGTAGTGCACAACATTACTATGTTCTTCATGACTGCAATATGACAGGTTAGAGAACATTAAGACATTTCAAAGTGTTTCTCGAGGCCCTCAACATATGTTTATTCTAAACTAAAAAAGGATTAAAGAACTAGATAAAAGAACTGACTTAACAAATGCAATGATTCACTTAACGGTGGCAAAAAAAGTAATAAAATGGGGCAAACTCACTTAACAAATGTTTCACTTAGCAAGATACATTTTGTGTGTGTGTGCGTGTGTATCAGCAACTAAGGAAATTGACCCTTTGGTCATAATGTTTACCTAGAAGTTAACTCTGTTCATCGACCACCTTCATTTTGGCCTTACATCCATTCAGTCACTTTCCTTTTCCTTTGCTCATAAGCACAGCCTTTTAAAGTCAGCCCTTTTGTCAGTTTCTGTTGTTGCTGGCATGGCCTGTCAGTTATTAGTTGCACAACTAGTGCCCTATCTTGTTCCCTGCCTTCTTTTTGCAATTGTGACATTATTTTCACAACAAATAACATATGTGGAAATGCTGAAATTCTAACGAAGAAGAGAAGTGTCAGCAATAGTCAAAAAGTGGTTGCAAGCCAAACATGACAGGAAATAAGAGCCACTTTACAATAAAAAATTTGGAAAGAAAAATAAGAGTTCCTATGTGTGTAAATAACACCAATAGCAATAATGTTTAGTTTAAAATGCTTGTGATTTACATGTCTGCTTTAAACATGAGGGAGCTTATAACTTTAAATTTAAGACAACTATCTTAAACTTTGTATCATAAAACAAAAACATTCTCATAATAAGAAGTTACATAAACAGAGATACAGAAAAGTCATCTAAACTTGCCTACAGATTCATACAATACACAAACAATATATCTATTAGGAAAAACATTTAGAAGAAAACAGAAATAAAAATACAGCACAGCAATACCATTCTACCATCAGAATCTCCTTACGTGCCCAAGGGTATGTTTTTTGCAAAACAGCATAGCAGAAGTACAGATGGAAAAAAATGTTCATATTTCTCCATTATCTTGCCACAATTAGGTCGCTTTCTAATAGTCCAATTCAAAAGCTGGACTATTTTTTTCTCTGTCTAGGAAGCAACCAACAGTATAATATTCTTCTTAACCAGGGGGTCTGGAGTTATCTTTATCATCAGCTCTACAGTGTTTATTGTAGGGTTGATCTTACAATTGTATGCCATCCACACCAATGCACTTGTATTTTTATGAAGAACACGAATACAGTATGTTGGCATTACTTCTTCCATAAGTGAGATTATTAGCCAAACACTTTCAATTTTTGAGATTTCTAAGAGGACAGTTTCTCATCTAATGTCTGCAAATGGAAGAGCTTGTTGAAAAGATCATGAATCAGTTACTCCAGTTTTTCCTTGTTGCTGCAATTCCTAGTGTCACTTTTCATGCTCCGCTGAAAGATGGGTAAATTATTCACCCAAGTAGTAAGATCAACATTATGTGCATCACTCTTCAGCTAAAAGATTCTTTAGCCTGGCTCTTAGTCATTCCTGAATACATACATAAACATTGGAATGAATGACCTCAGGCAATAGCACATACATCTACGCAATGCTCTAAATAAGGAATCTGTGACTTCTCTTAACCCAGAGCATGGGGATCTACTATCATCTAACATAGCTCTTTCTAACTCAGCTCTCTCATACTGTGCCTTACACTTATGTCCTGCAAAAGTTAGCTCATTAATTCAATTGAAACTGGCAGATATTACATCACAACACTGAAGAAGCCTCGAACATATATTTTTTTAAATGAGAAGCATTCTGCACAATAAATGATTCTATTTTAACTCTCTTTCTCACAAATTAGTATATGACTATGAAGCCTTTTCATTCATCCTCCAATTTTATCTTTTTTGTACCATGCAACCATTCTCATACTTTATCAGAGACAGAACATATAGAACCACCCTGTTTCTCATGCAAGGGAAACATCATTTTGCTTGTTGATGGTTGGGTGAGGGTCACTTTCTCCTCTTGCACACACCCTCCATACACATAAACAGCCATAGTCCTCCAATCTTTTACACAGATCATGATAAACTGTTATAGTTGTTGCTATGCTCCCAAGACATTTCCCTGCGAAACGAAGCAGCCCTAGCATTAAGCTAGCTTGGTCCATAATTCCATGCTAAAGTCTTCCCCTTCCTTCAGACCAAAGAGCCTGGTATTTCTCTTTTCCTCAAGCACTATGGCAACCTTAAGAGTGCCAGCACACATTTTCATGGCTACAGCCAATTCTTTCATCCCAGTGGTGCCTGAAAGAACAAACCACTTTTTTTTTTTTTTTTGATACAAGACATTGCATAGTTTGCATCTTTCGCTTCCCCCCTATTTATACGCAGCACAAAATCCTTTGTGATTCTCAGCCTGAACAGCTCTGCCAAGGACTGCAGAATGCTTTCTCAAGCATAGCACATTCCGTATAATAGGCCTCATTGTTCACAGAAAGTGAAGGGATTTTACTATGTTTAAGAAATGGCCATGTTTATACATGCTATTAAGGAAAAATGGGGATATTTTCATTTATTTGGCATATTTCAGGCTTTGTTTTTGGAAAATTTAAATGACAAATTATAATCTTCCATTGTAATAATTATATG